CAAATTTCAACATGAAGGATATTCCTGCTTTAGGTCTTTGGCTGGAATAACATCAGGGGTAGTCATCCTGTGAAGAGAGATGATTCGTTGCCTCCTCGTATACACGCTAGTCATGTTGATGGTGAAATATTCTCAGGTATGCAGCAAACATCCTGTCTGTGACAGGGAGTTCATTCCCACATGAAAAACAGCAAAAAAACAGAGACCCTAACTGATTTGGTTAATTGGGAAGCATTAACTCTTCTAGTCTAAAGCATTTTTTTTTATGACCATTCTTTTCTTTTTAGGAATTGCATATGTCACCATGCCTGCATCACTGTTATCTGGTTTGTTGGAAAATCTGATCACGTTAGGTCTCAGAAAAATACATTGAAGTCTGTGATTCTAATCAGAAATGTAATGTAATGGTAATATAAAGGTTCATTGACATGCACTCTGCTGAAAAGTTAAGTTGAATTAGCTGAGCTAGGGAGGAGATTTGGCAGAGGTGGGTAAAAGTACAACTGGTATGCAGGTAAAAGCTAGACCAGCATCTTATAAAGGAGATCTTGGATGATGATTGGCATCAGAGTCTGTCTAGTCCGATATTGATTGGTTGGAGCTTTGAGCGTGGTACATCGAGAGGCGATCCAGGTGAGGTTGATAAGAAACTTCTAGTCCAGGTCTAATTTTCACTTCAGTAATGACATAGAGCAGGCATCCCCAAACTCGGTCCTCAAGGCCCCCTGTCCTGCAGGTTTTAGAGGTTTCTCTGCTTCAGCACAGCTGGTTATAATGATTGCAGTAGACCAAAAGCCTGTTAATCAGCTTTCAATTAAAATCAGCTGTGCTGGAGCAAGGAAACCTCTAAAACCTGCAGGACAGGGGGCCTTGAGGACCGAGTTTGGGAATTCCTGACATAGAGTAAATCTGTCTACAAGATTGGTTCAAATCCACTAGGTTTCTCTATGTATAAACCAGCCCCTTTTTTCTAAAATTTCTTGATGCTTTGTTTTTTGTGACTCTTTACGATGAATAAACTAACTTGTATTCATTAGGAGAAAATCTGTTATGGATGACATTTTGTTGGCTATTATTAACAACGGTTGCCTGCATTTGGTGGTGACTGGTGATTCATAGCGGTTCTCTGCTGACATGCAACTCGAGTGGGCCTCATAGACGGTGGTGTTAACAAGATGTGGAACTGGGATTGTGGTTTTCATAAACAATATGTGCATGTATCATCTTTTTCTTAAATATTTTTTGGCTTGGAGTACATTTACGAGGCACCCTCCATTTTTATAAACATTTGATGAATAGTATATAAATAATCCTGATTTGTTAAAATCCTGGTATTGATAAACAACTGTGAGGATTTTTCGGTGGATTCATCGTTTTTTTTTTATTCTTATTTTTGATCAGGAGGATGATGTTACAAGCCAGGTGTTTGTCTCACATTGCTGGTGTGCTGTGGTTCATCAAAAATGTAATCATTTTGAGGAGGTTATGTTGTGCTAGAATAGATATATATTTTAACTGAAAATATTTTAACTGAATGCACATGGACCAAAAGCACCAATGCAGTAGGAGCTGAAGTTGGCCTCCGATTCAGGGAATGAGTAAAGGGCAATTTCCCTTAATTTTTCCCTACCTAATCTACTCTCATTAAAAAACTGCAACACCTGGACACATCAAACCTGGATTATATTATTCTGAACTGTTGGTAGAATAATTAAAACCTGGTCTGACTTGTGAAACCTCAATAAAGTCAATTTCTAACACTTTTTTTTAGAGTCCATGTCACACTAGAAGTGGTCTGGCTCTAAAGCTACAACACCTAGACGCATGTAACCTGGGCTAGATTATTCTAAGCTATTTGTAGAACTTCTAGATCCATGTTTAGGATTCTTGAAACCTTTCTCTGATTTGCGAAACGTCAATAAAGACTGATTTTAACACTCGTAGGAATCATGGCTTGCTGATAGATCCACAGGTTTTGAGAAATTATTTTCAAAAACATTTATTTCATATAAATGTTAATTATTTTTATAAGCAGTAGTAGTAGCTTATATAATAGTAGTATAATATTCTTATTTTTATCAATATTATTGAAATAAAACAATAAATTTACAAAAAAAGGACAATGGTATTGCTGGCAGTGAGAAGTAATTGTTTCTAATTGCAGCAGTATAATAGTCGTACAAGAAAAGGACAAACTGATATTGCATCCACAAAGGTCCACAGTGTGTGAGAAATGATTAACAGAAAAAAAGAATAAAATTTATAACATAAGCAGTATTAGATGTGTGTTATTAATATATGCTTCTCTGTGTTATTCTTATTGCAACAAACTGCATTATTATACTTGTATTTGAATCAGTTTTAAAGATATACTGTATATATATGATAGATTTGGAGCACTTGGTTAAAGTTTGCCTGAATTGATGCATGTCCCAAGCAGGATTCGAACCGACGATTTATTTCCTTTTTCTTTTTTGTGTTCTCCTTCTTTCCTACCCCCTCTTCTCCAAAATATTGGTCCCCAACATAATTGTCAAAGTTTTTGTTTTGTTCAGTTTCCTACCATCTACTTAGAAGTAGCAGGTTTCATGTTTCCACAAACCATCTGACTACTTAATGGCCTTAAGATGTGTAATACAAATATTTTAAACATGGTGGAACATGTAACGTGCACATATTGTCATATTTTTTTTTTATCTCAATTAATTTATTTTTCTTACAAATCAAGAAATAATTTAATAAATGGGTATAATTTTCTGAGTATATTAAACATTTGTTGTAAGAGCAACATCTTACTACTATATTAACTGTAGGCAAAAGTCTGATTACTTCAGCTATGCACATCCACCACACATACAAGTGACTTTCTAAAGTATTGAATCACATTGCTATGCCGGATCTTAATGAAATATTGAGGGAGGTTAGATAAGGCAAGGCAAGGCAAGGCAAATTATTTTGTATAGCACAATTCAGTGCAAAGACAATGCAAAGTGCTTTACGTGCTTAAAATATAGGAAAATAAAACAGAATCAAAGCAAGTAGGGGAAAAAAAGAATAAAGAAAGAAAAATAAATAAAAAAATGCATTAAAAACAGTTGGACTAAAGAAAAAAAAAGGCTTTCTGCACTTTTACAGTTTTCTGGAAGTTTGTTCCAGATAAGTGGAGCATAGGAAATAAATGCTTCTTCTCCATGTTTAGTTCTGGTTCTAGGTATGCAGAGCAGGCTGGAGCCAAAAGACCTGAGTGGTCTGGAGGGTTGATACACTGATAGCAAGTCTGTGATGTATAAGCCATTCAGAGATTTATAGACTAAAATAAGTATTTTAAAGTCGATTCTCTGAGATACAGAGAGCCAGAGTAAGGACTTTAGAACTGGGGTGATGTGCTCTACTTTCTAAGTCTTAATGAGGACACGGGCAGCTGCGTTCAGGATCAGCTGCAGATAGATATACTTTATTAATCTCCCAATGGATAAATTTAATTGTCACATTGGCTGTTTCTAACTTCTAATTCCTAACTGTTCACAGTCTGAATAAAATGATTGCAGGAGCTGAAGAATTAAGCTGTATGGTACAGTAAAGAGAGATTCTTAATACACATGTATGTCTGAGTTTAAGTCATGTTTGTCATGTATAATTTTCTTTTTAAAGGGAAAAACCACAACAAAGACCTAAACATGACTAAACCCTAATTCTGCTAAATATTTCATCATTGAAACTGTATTTTTTAAAATGAATTATTTAAAAACATCAACTGCAGCGTTCCCAAAATTAGCCTGATTAACATGACCAACTGGGGGTTTAGGCAAATATGCAATACTAAATGGGACCACTTCTACAGGAGTAGTTTCTGTGTCAAAGAAGAGCAAAATTTTATACCAGAAAAAAGAGAACAATAGGTTGTTGGAATCATGATATCAGCTGACGCCCCCTTTAAGAAGGCATCAGAGATTAACATTTGCAAGAGCAAATGTTGCTACACTAAAAATAAAAATTAGAAGGAAATTACAGCTAAAAGGGGAATTCGAAGCAACAAAAAAAAAAAAAAAGGTTTTTAGAGCAAGATGGGTTCCTTATATATGTGGTCTAAATACTAAGAAATTGCTGAAATCTGCCTTTATTGAGGTTTCACAAATCCCAGACCAGGTTTTAATTATTCTACTAATAGTTCAGAATAATCTATTCCAGCTTTGATGTGTCTTGGTGTTAAAGCTATTTAATTAGAGTAGATTAAAGATGCTGAATGAAGGGAAAAATTAAGTGGAATCACCCTTTACTCATTCCTACGAATAGGAAGCCAACTTCATCTTTGGAGCAGCGAGTACTTGTTTCCCCTCTTGGGCAGTTTTTACTTCATTGGCGTTTTTGCCACAAATAAGTAACCACATCCGTTCACGGAATGTGAACAAACGATCCCTTTTACGTTTCTGTTCTGTTTTTTTTTTTTTTTTTGTCTCCCGAAATGGAAAATGAAATTCAAATTTTTTTTTAACGTTTACTTTTCCCTTTTCTGTATTTTACATCAAAAATAAAATCGCCATTTGTGTTTATTTTTTAATACCCGTTTCTGAATAAAGACCCTTTCTCTTTTTTTCTTTCTTTTTTCTTAACCCTTTAAAGCCCGATCCAAGAATAAAACAAAACAGAAAATTACTTTTTTTTGGTTTGAGATCCTTATTTGGCCTTTTAACAAAATATGTAAAAAGAAAAAACAGAAATACATTTTTGATATTTATAATTTATTACTATGTGATAAGTCAAGATTATTTTTTGTGTAGTCTTCTGCCCTCTCTTATCGGGTATATCTGATTGTGTACAATAGGATTTTGAGCAAAGTTTTTACCATTAAATTATGCAAAAGGTGTCAGACGCATTACATACATTTGGCATTTACAGGGTTAAATGAAAAATATTTTCCTCCTCCTATGTTTTAATGCAAGGACAGCTTGTCCAATCAGAACAGGGCTTTGCTGCAGCCTGACCAGTCAGGGAGACACTTTTTTTTTTTTTGTGCGTGACGTACAAAATAGAAAAAAGGTGTTAAAGTATCGGGGGAGCGGTGGGTCTGAAAAGGGTACAGAAAGTACAGTCGGCTGGAAAAAAACACAGTTTGACAAGATGAACAGCGCAGGTAGGTTTATAAAGTGTTTACAGCTTGATGCATCCTTTGCAGCAGTAGGGGCTCATCCAAACATTTTTTTGTTCATTTAATTTTTTTGTTTATTTGTTTGTTTGTTTTTTTCCAATGATAATATTTGAATTTCTGAAATGCTTCAGCTAATAAGGGGACTATCTGAGTCATATGGTGAAAATGTTGCAGTTTCAAAAAAGATAATAAAAATCTTTCATGAGAAAAAAAAAAAAAACGGTGACATGAACCAACTGTTCTGTCTATCATTTAGCTTTGCCTGATTTTTTCTGCCAAGATGCTCAGCCTGAAGTTTAAAAGAGTCTGACAAACAGCTTCTTTCTATAGCTGTATGTAATGGAATGGAAGAAAATGATTTATTTATTTTTTAAATAAACCTGAATCTGCTATAAAGGAGACTTGTGCGCTAAGGAGCGCAACCACTCCCACGCAATGAAGGACAAGGAAGGGCTGAGTGATGAGCTCAGGGCCTCCCTTTGTACCTTTCTATCAATCAAATATATTGCTATGAGGTTTTACCAGAAAATTACGAATATATTAAATAACTAGAACTGGAAGTTATAGTTAATTAATAGGTCAAAGGTAAAACTAATTAATTCTAATTAGTTTGAAGTCGTAGGGAAGTCATATTTAAATGTCAAATCATTCTGGCTTCAACGTGTATATAAGTGTAATCTTTATCAAACCATATAGTTCCAAAAGTTAAATTTCTATATAAAAAAAAATCCTGTCTGTGTTTTTTTCGTTATCTTATGCAGGCAAGTTAGTTATACGTCAGCCTGTACACATAAATTCAATCAAACTTATATCAAAGGTCATCTGTCAATCAAATGTTTTCGGTCATAGCATCTTGATTCATATGTCACAGCTAAGGTACGCAACGGTTGAAATAAGAAATAAGAATAATTATTTACTTTCCCATTGAGTTCCGTCCCAGTGTTCACGGGGCTGGGCGTCTGCGTCTTCGGCAGGCGTAGAGCTAACAGAACTGACAGCGTTGCGAGGTAAGGGCTCCAACATGTACGGCTGGAAGCCTTCTACACCAAACCAAGCTTCTGCCGACCTGGCGTCGTTTTCTACAACATCTTCGTCCCCGCTTTCCTCCTCTAAATAAAAAATTTATGATGCAGGTAACTCATCAGCGACCTCAGACACAAAACTCTCCTCTTGCGTGTTTCCGCTGTCCATAGCGTTCCTTTACAGTTTCGTTTCTAAGTCACCAATTTAGTGCTACTTGGTCCCAATGTAATTTCCCATTGTGAACCTACTAGCACTAAGTTGCTAACTATGGGGCCAAAATTGTTACTTTATTATTTGCAAAGGTGTGTGGAGAGTTGTGTATCTGTATCTCGATTTGTGTGTGTGCAGTGGGATTTGAAAATGTGTAAATGAAACTGTAAATGTGTGCGGAGATTTGTGTGTCTGTACAACAATCTGCAAATGTGTAAAACTCCTGTGTGTGTAATCCGGTTTGCAAATGTGTAAAAAAATCCACAAATCTGTATTCAAATCTACAAATGTGTACTGAGATTTACAAATCTGTAGTAAGATTAACAAATCTGTAGTAAGATTTACAAATGTGTAGATCAATCTGTAAGCACACACAGAGACACTTATGTCTGAAGTATTTTCGGTTATTTTGGCCCCATAGCTATCTGGTTAGCAAGATGCTTCGAACAAACCGGACACAACCAAACTTGCTTGCCAAGCTCCCTCCACAACAATCCCGCCCTCTTGATAAACGACCAATCACATTCAATTTATTAACTCGTATAAAGTCGGGCACCACTCGGTAGAATTCGGAAATGCAACGGTTGGAACGGCTGTTTCCCTACTATCTTAATTAAATACAACTTCAATTTGCTTACTGACCAGGATTTTAGCCTCTTACCTAAGAGGTCGGACTTCTGAATGCGGCTTTTAAAATCCAGTTGTCTTTCACCAATTTAGGCTACGGCTCTTAGCAACGTTATTAACCACCAACCAATGAAATGTGTCTCTTTTCATTCGAATGCTACTTAAAAAAGAAAATCCAACCTAAGTGATAAATTATTCACTGTGTAAAATAAACACAAAAGACTGCGAGTTAAAATGCTATAGTACCTTTATTAGCTACAATCACACAATATTATATCTAATAACTAAGCAAAGACTAAACACTACTGAAAATAAGCAAAAACAAAGAAATATGCATCAAGTGTCTTTGACTGACTGCTGTTTTTATATTTAACCCAGGTAAAAGTAAACAACTTACATTCACCATTGTCATTATATTCCTTGGTCGTCATTTTTCCTCATGTTTGATACAAAGAGTAAGAAAAAGAAAAGAGGGTTAGTATGCAAACAAAAACATATAAAAACAAATGCAACAAAAACAAAAAAAGACAGTTCATAGCTTATTCAGCTTCTGATTCCCAGCCTCAGGGTGAGGCTCAGGTTGAGGCTGGGAATCAGCGGCATGAATATGAGTATCTGCAATTAATGTTGTTTTAATGCTGACATTAATGCTGAAATTGGATTCTTTCAAAGCCATCCAAAATTTCAACCAGCTATGTCAATGTTATTGCTAAACAAATTCCCTGAAAACTCTGTGAATGTTTTCAGTTTTGGTTCATAATTTTAAATTAGGAACCAGATTATTTTGGAATCACATTATGATCGGCTGATAATAGGGGGGTTTTAAGTAAATATTAGTTTTATTTTGTAAGAACTAATATTTAACGCTGAACTACGCTTATCCATCTTTAGCTCTTTCATTAGTGGGATGAGTTGGCATGAATTTTATCTCTAGATTACCAGAATTTACAAAGATTTATTACTACCTAGCTATGAGCCTAGTGTGTCCGTGGTGGTTGCAGGAATCAGTTAAAGGCAGATTTAAGATCTTTTTTACCAAATCAACACAGACCAGATTAAAAGGATTCATTCCTTCAGCAATCTGGTTCCAGCTGAGCCATTTTTTTCCTGCACACATTTATGACAACTTTAGAGAACATCATGTCAATTTTGCCACTTCTGTGAGATATGGTGCACTGTAATTGCACACGGTATATGAAAAATGTGAATATCCTGAAAAAAACAGTTATAATCTGAGAAATTTGGTATTTAGAAAATGAAATCTTGAAGAATTAGTGCATGTTTTCCTGGGTTTAACATACACTTAATCTAAATGGTTCTATGCACCGGATTGTCCTTTTGGAACGGAGGCACGCCCTGTTCCTGAGAAAGAAGTGGCTGCATTTAATTCTGTCTACCTGTCCTGTGGCGAAGAATGTTGCAAATGCAAAATATTCATTGCCTTCTTTAGATATTGGAACTGGTGCGATTCAGTTCATCTGTAAATGGAGACATATGGATGTAACCCCCCTTTGTTGAGGAGGGGTTAGGTCTATGAGGGTGATGGGTGGAGCTGACAGGAGGTGGGTTGTTCTGGGAAAAACGCTGTCAGATGATGGGGAAGACTGATGGGTGACTTGTTGGGATGCATGAAGGGTTATGCAGCATCACTGGTCCTACACAGGTGAGTGATGGGCAACATCTGACCTGAGAAGAACAGGACCTGCTCTACATTCTAAATAAGACTCTTTTCCTGGTCTTACATCCTGGGAACTGATGCTGACTCCCTGGAAAATGTGATTTTCTGAGTGGAGTTTGGTTTTCTCTGAAAAGTTGGAATCGTTTCCCAATGGTATCTGGGAGGATTCTGAGATTTTATAAGTTCGACCTTCCATTCCAATAAGTGGAATAAGGAAGTAGAGGATGAGTCCATGCCTAATTGTGTTCCTGATGGGGGCTTCAGGTCAGGTCTCTCTCGACAATCATCATCATGATCTGATGAACCGATTTTGCCAACAACACTGCCTGTTCTGTTTACTCATTCTGATCTTTACCATCAAACTCACTCCTAAAAGCTTCCTCTGGCCAGGCTTTCTATTGTCTCAGCTCATCTAACATCTGTACCTTGTTTGGAAACCTCTCTCTTCCGTACTCCTCTTATCCTGGAAAGCTCTCTTTCCTTGTGGACCTGGATCCTATTCTTTTTGTGACCCGGTTTTAAACTTGGCTCTGGAGGACAGAAGCTTCTTCCCTTTTTGCATGGGCGTATGCTCATCTCCCATGCTATCTGAGCATACCTCCTGATCACCTGCATGGAAAGGGTTTTAGTTTGGCAGAACATGGTGACTTTATACTTTATGCTCATGTCAAGATTGTGGAGAAAAAGAGATTTTAAAGTGTGGTTTTCCTCCAAACCAGGAGCGTTTTGCCCCTGAAAAAAGGCGGCTCTAAACCGTCTATAATATTCTTCAGGCGCTTTATTCATTTTGTCCTTGATGCAAAGGACAACAAGCATCATGGAGGCTGGATAAGCATGCTCTGAATATTTCTCTCAAAGCCTAGCAAAGAGAAGAATAGCACTCTCTTACGGAGGGCTGAAGGCTCTCCATGAAAAAGTAAACACTCCTTAAAGAGGTAAACACTCCTTAAAGAGGTTCTCCAGATTAGACTCAATTTCTCCTGAGCGGAGGGGTTGGATATACCTGAAAGACAAAGTCTACCTCTCTGAGGTAATCATCAATTGTGGCTTCAGCATTACTGGGATCAAAACGCTCCAAGTCTTGGGCGAGGGATTCAAGTTGCCGGGTTACTAGTCCCTGTTCTGGGATTAGCACCGGTCCTGAATCATGATCTAACAGCTTTAGTCAAATGCTATCATGGTAGGATGGACATTTCTGCTCTGACCTTCCAGAGGGCGCTGGAAACCGTTCATTGTACACTGGTGGACTTGCGTCCCATTGGTGGCTGAGACGCAGATCTCGGTTTCGTAGGCAAGGCAAGGCAAGGCAAAGTATTTGTATAGCACAATTCAGTAAAAAGACAATGCAAAGTGCCTTACATGATTAAAATATAGGAAAATAAAACAGAATCAAAGCAAGTAGGAAAAAAAATGCAGAAACAACGTTTGTTTTTAGTCTTGATTTAAAGGAACTCAGGCTTTCCGCACTTAGACAGTTTTCTGGAAGTTTGTTCCAGATAAGTGGAGTATAGGACCTAAACCCTGCTTCTCCATGTTTAGTTCTGGTTCCAGGTATGCAGAGCAGGCTGGAGCCAGAACACATAAGTGGTCTGGAGGGTTGATACACTGATAGCAAGTATGTGATAGTGTTCTTGGCAGATAGTGTTCTGAGTTAGACCAGGAGCCTAGGCTGCTCTATAACCTGAACTATGCGTGCCACTCAGGTCTGTCATCCTCTGTGGTTTGAAGCTGTTCTGCTTAGTGGAACTACACACTGCACTACCAAACCTATCCTGCTCCATCATCATAGTTCTTAGCTCTGTGGTCACATGAGACCTCCTTCGGCCCTTCTCATCCAAATTCTCTAACGCAGGAATGGCCTCACTCACTTCCTCTAACCCTTCATCCTGTAAACAAGGGACCTCCTTTCTACACTCTTCCACCCTTCTAGCTCTATTTTCAGCCTTTGGATGCTGTTCTGTTTCTAATTGTGACTTTCTCTGATACAGCAAAGCAATCTGATCCAACACATCCTCAACCAACAGATCCCTCAGATCTGTTGATTCTCAGACTAGCCTTCTCCGGAGGGCTGTGTCATCAGAAGGGATTAGTTCCGGTGACATCAGTGGCACTTGATCACAACAATATACACATACTTTATTCACATGCTCACACATACTTTTGCATATATAAAAGTATTTGTGGTTTTGAAACTGAATAGTAACATGAAGTGAAACCAGTCCGTTATGACACCAGATTTGAAACAAGAATACATCAATAGTGTCACAAGACAACAAAGAAGTAAAATAGTTTGGGGCTGATTCAAATAACAAGTATATTTTCATTTTTATATATTTGTCAATTTTTTTAGACTTAGACCACTATTATTGTCATTTTGTATACACGGAGTGTTTTGTACAGCTTTCATAAGCATTTCCATTCCATAAAGTGCGGCAGTGGTCAAATGTTAAAAGTGTGCATGAAAAAAATGGTGCAAAAAAACGCATTATATATATTGTGCAAAAATGCAGTATTTACAAACAATATGTGAGAAAAATGCATTGCCTAAGTTAAAAGGATGAATTTAAATTTTTATTTGCTTTAATTTCGGTTTGTTTGTTTGTTCATGAGTGGTTTCCAATTAGAAGATCTAAGTAGAAAGTTTCCATGCACCATTTAAACAGAGAGATTTGCTGTTAAACTCTTAGAATGTCTTTGAGCGCTGATTGATTAAAACTTAAACAAACTGGGAATGTTTTCTGCACAACTCTGTGAATCTCACAAATCAATGGGAACAAAGTTTTCCTATAAGAACAATGTTTTTCCTCACAGTCGCCCCCGGCAAAAAACTTCCACTTATATTGCTCCATTTTCTCTAGAATTTCTTGGAGTTGTGTGGCTTAGCAAATTTGACATATTTCAATAGCTGCAGGGGCAGTGGAGGGCAAGTCACAACAAATGTATGATGAAGCTCTTTTCTACCCTCTTAATACCTCACTTGAATTGCTTTCTCTTAATGTGGGAGATTACTAAAGCCCAATCACATGACTGAATATGTCAGAAAAAAAAGAATCCTGTGTAGTCAACATGTTTGATTTACTAATTACTGTAATGAAAAAAACATTTTCCTAAGTAGAGAGAACAATGTTAAAAGAAGTATAACATAGGAAAGTGTTTTTCACATTGATCCCAATAAATATTAGATATAAACAACCCAACAATCAAATCCAACCAGCCCAATGGGGATGGTTGTAAATTTCTCATATTGTTCATAAAAATTAGAATTCTAAAAATTGCATAGAAACCCTGATTGTGTTTTCAAGCTGTATGGTGACTTTAATATTACATTATATCCTGCTAACTGGTGTATGTTCTATTTTCTAATAGAGGCACTTTGTTACTTTTCGTGGACAACAGAAGACTTACAGTAAAGAAAAAAAGCTGTTATAACCGATTATGAGATTTAAACATTAGAGATGGGTTCATAAATATCTGATTGTGATATTTTGTTGTGAATGTATATGATTAGATTCATTTCTTCAGTAAATGTATTTTAAATGATAAAAAAAAAATCGTGCTGAAAAATAGCTGCCATTTAGGATGGGCAGCTGCACCTTTAAAAAATTTAGTCAGGTTGGTGTTTCTGCTCTTTCTGCTCTGAGGGGGGAAATATGCACTAAAGTGGTATTTTGATCCCATTTCAAGTCTTAACCTGTTCCAGTGTATTTTCTAAATTGCGACAAACTACCAGGTGCAGCTGAATGAATGCAGCTCTGAATTTACAAGTTTCAAAGAAATAAAGCCAGTAATAGCTGAACTTTCCCTGTTGTTTATTTCAGCTGTATATCCGCCTCTTAATGCCCCTGCTGCAAACCCGTTCCCAAACATACCTGGCTATGAAGGAATTGCAGGAGGTAAGTCTAGTCCAACCAGCCTAACTATGTATCTGGGCAGCATTTACAGCTAATTTCCTATTACTATTGCAGGTGCTGCCCTGCCTCCTCCTATACCTTTACAGCCAGTAACTCCACCGCAGCCTGCCCCCACTCCTGATGACTGGAAGTAAGGCATCATGTTACTGAGCTGTGGCAGGCAGCAAATCATATGTGGTCTGGGTCAGCATCCAGGAAATATTTTTATTTTCAAGATATTTTTTATTTGTGTGTGTATTTTTCTTGTCTTTCCTTTAGAATCCCTGAACTGTCAGAGGAGGAGGCTCGTGCTGCATTCAAGGACTATGTGGAATCCCAGTGCTGCTACAGGTCAGGTCCCGCAGAGGAGGGTGTGATCACAAGCCTGGAGTCATTTAACACATACAGGGTGACTGCATTTCACATGATCTATAACATGTTTACACTTTGGTTTTTATTGGAAAACACTTGGCTTTAGATAGCTGTCTTGGTTAATTGTGGATGCTATCAACTAGTGATGAAAAAATTAATCGGATTAATCGGGATTAATCGATGATTGAAATAATGGTCAACTAATTTATTCATCGATTAATCATCCACTGGAGTATAGAGACTCTCAAGCATGTCTTTAGCTGACAGAGCAACCCATCTTGAGCAGCAATAATACCAAAATTGTAAAAAAAAAAAATATAAACATTTTACATTTATGATAGAAAACAATGTTTTTGTCTGTCAATCTGCTCTTTCCAGAACTCCTCAGCCAGAAAAGTTTCAGTTTCAGCTGGTTACATTTTCGTAAAAAGTCTTCTTTAAGGACATTTTTTTATCCAATTATTAATCGATTAATCGAAGAAAATAATCAACAGATTAATCAAATTGCAAAATAATCATTAGTTGCAGGCAGCCCTACTACAAGAACACGTGGGTGGGACTAAGTTCGGAATGGCACCCAGGCTAAGCAAACTCTGCCCCATACAGAACTCCGGTTCCATGAAAATTATTTTTGGTGAGCCCTCTTTTGACTTACAAAAGGTTGTTGCCCAACTTCCCACAGTCAAACTTGTATTATTATACACAGAATGCTCTTTATAGAATAATATCCCCAAACAAAAACATAAATTCTTTATCAATGAAATAGTCCAGGGCCTTAAAAATATCCTTTAGTGACGTAATTTCAGGAAAAGTCTTAGCATTTAGAATTTCACCTCTGTAAGATAGAAGTTATTCCAAAGCACCTTAGGATTTAAGAGAGCTCCTAAAGTAAAACATGTAATAGGATTGGTGAGGGGACCTAATAATGATACTAATTAATAAATAATAATCCTATAATTACTGGTTTTGATTGACTTTATCATCTAAATGAAATAGTTTCATCTAAAATCGGTCAAAGTGCCTCAAGTAGCATTATTTTATTAAGGATAAATAATTAATATGTAAAATATTAGATAAGTATCAAACAATGGAAAAATAATACATCAATAATTCAAATAAGAATTCCAAAAATATTTACAGATTGCGAAATGCTGTGAATAATAAGAATTTCAAAATAACTTAAAAATGGTTGCAAAAGAATATATAAATAGAATCTAGATAAATATAATAAACACACTATATATGCACAGTGGGAGGAGAAAGTATTTAATCTCATGTAAATTATATCAGCATCCAAAATTTACTTGTATGTCATCATTATTCGTGTTTTTTTTAATACTGCATATGATGCTTTTGTTGTATGAACTAGCTATAAGAAGACATTTTCACTTCTCGCAACACAGTTAATCACACGTCCTCACCGAGATGAAAAACTCCCAGAATCACCCTATGAAACTAATGTGATAAAAGTTTAGTGAATGTCAGGAATTGCTGTATATCCTCTAAACATATTTATAAAAGCAACCACAGAATCTCCACTAGCACACATCCCAAGTTCAGTTAGTGTGGGATAGACTAACAACACGTACAGAAACCCTTGTTCCCTGTTTCACATCTGTGGTATTATATCGCTTACTTTGCCTTTTTTCTCTAAAATCGGTACTCATGCACATTTTGTTTTAGGCTGAGGATCTGCTAAAGGTATAATCAAGGTTTATAGATTTAATTTTAATAAAGATGAAGTATTTTCCTGCAGAAATTATAGCTCCTCCCAAAGTTTAGTCTTTTGTTTTCTAATAATAATCACTGATTTATTAACACTAGATCCCTTCTCACCTAAAGAACTGTTTCCGAATCACACTTTTTTGTAGTATTGTAGCCGGCAAGTAGGTTGCTATGGCAATAACCAGCATAAAAGATGAGTTTAATGGCTGCCTCCTTTTTTATTAAACAACTGTACACTTGCTAATGAGAGCTCATTTAACGGTGCTAACATGGTGCTAACTCCAAGACTCATGCTGTGGCCACCAATACTTCAGATTATAAAATTAACTTAGATGGCAGCATATAACAGATATAGAAACAGCAGCAAATATAATCATAACTTTATAACCAGCTTCTAATATCCAACATGCTGCCCAGTGCATGCTGGGAAAACAAACTCCAGCTGCCCCAACACACTAAAATATATTATTAAGTAAATAAACCAAAGCAGCATAAAATTAGTGCTGTTTTAGTAAAATCATTTTTGATAGTATGCAGCACAACCTGTTTCCCTTAACAGACGGTAAATATCAGGTGTTCAAATTTTTTTTTTTAAACTTGCAACCAGAAATATATAGTATTTGTCTTTTTATGTGTATAGTGTTTTAAGCAATGTTTTCTCTCCTATAGTTGCGTCTGGAGACGTTCACAGAGTCCAGAAAAACTGAAATGGCTGAGAAACCTTATGAAGGTAAGGTTATCTGAATAAAAACATTCAAGACGGATGCCTTATATATTATAATTGAAAATTTGTGATGGAAGATGTTTGTTATGAGCCTTGTGCAATTGTTTGTTTTTAACCAAATGCATAAAGTCTCTAAATGACAGAACTCTGTGAAATGTGAATTAAGAAAACAGTGTCAAAGGACCTTATGGTTGATGGCTTGTAGGATAACCTTCATTTAATTTAATTAATCTTCACATCAAACTCCCCAAAAGTCACTTTCTGTATTTTCTATGTTTTATGTTTGTCATAATTAGTGCTGAGATTAAATGCAGGTAGCGATTACAGATAGTTTATTGAAAATAAGGGACAGGAGACAGGTGATCAGGGTAGGGAGTCCAGTTTCACACTAGAAGAATGGAAGTGTTAGTGCTTTAGGGGTTCAGGTAACAGATCAATTGATGTGATGGTTTAGATGAGGAAGCATAATGTTCCAGCTGTGGAGGGTGGACCGGCAGGTGGCAGATATGAGCGTTTTCTGAGTGCAGAGGGAGGAGCAGAGACAGAGCAGCCAGCAGGACTTCCAGCACCAAGTCTCCAGTAGGGACTAGGCCAAGGAACCAGAGAAGAGTCAACGAGGAAGAACTGCAGGGGAGGACATAGTCAAAATGTTAGTATTAGGCGACTTTTAACACAATCTAAGCCCAACAGGCAACTGTGGGACCTGTTTACCACAGGATGTGATTTAGCCATCAGGCATCCGCCTCCTAGTGTTTTATGGCAGTTGGCAAACTATTTAAAGTGCATTACCACCACCAAATGATAAGGAGTTAAACGAGAAAACAGGAAATGAGACTCCCCCGAGAAAAAAAACTTTAACTTTTTTTTTATAGTTTTCCAAACTGTATGTTTTAACCCAACATAATGAAACACATAATCAAAATCATCCTTGTAATTTCTTATTTGTCTAATTTGTCACTCTGCCAATTTCTGATGGTTCCATTCGTTTTCCCATCATACTTTCAACTGTTTCTCAGATTAAATCTCTCACTTTTCTGCAGCTTTCACTGTTACTTACAGTAGATTTTTTCGTTTTTCTTTGTCATCTGAGCAGTGCAATTGATCACTTCCACCATGAAAAGTACAAAATCCTTCTTTTTAACAATCAATGAATCTTTTGCAGTGTTGGGGCATTCTTCCAGAGGTTTTGAACTTATCATTTGCTTAACTGTTGGCTTGGGTCTTTCTGACTGTGATGGGATTCTTTTTGCAGCTTCAGCATAAGTTATTCCGAGCTCCATTTTCAACTTTAAAATATCTTCAGATCTTTTGCTCACTTCACAACCGTGATAAGCAGCAGTCTGTCTTCCGCCACAGTTACAGCATTTAATTTGAACTTCTTTACCACACTTTCCATATTCGTGCTCTCCGGCACCCCTTCCACACTGTTGTTTGCCCTTACATACTGCCGCTATATGAACAAATTTTTAGCATTTAAATATTTTGACATTTTGACATTGTAGCTCATATCAGATGAAAACCCTACTGGGTAAATTCTCTTCTTAGAATTTGATCAACGCTGATAGGCTGTCACTTCTTTCTCCTTTTCTTGCTGTTTTTAACCATTTCACCTCTTCTACTTTTGCATCACTTATATTTTCAAGAATGTCTTTGTCACTTATTTTTAGAGGCACTCCTCCAATGACTCCCTTGCTAATCCTTTTGTTCTCCACCAAGCTGCACTCAACTATTTTCTCCTCAATCTTGTTGATCAGAATGGCTTTGCCTTGTTGAGCACTGTCTCTGCAGTTTATTTACAAGTTTCCACTATAGAGTATTTTGGCCCTTCGGACGTCTCCTACAAGTTTGTTTAATAGATTTTTTTAACTGCGCCGGATTCCAATCTGTAAAAGAGTCTCCCTGATTAGCTAGTTTGAGTATATCTTTGTAATAATTTTGTTTTCCTGTGGAATGTCCAGATTTCTCATCACTTGATCTGAACTAGACTCCCCTTCAATTGATCTCTGCTTTTTCTGCTTTTTCTCATTTTTTTTTATTCTACTCTCTTCCAATCTTCTTCATTTTCACTATTTCCTTCTTCCATCCCACAAGAATCGCCTCCTGTTTCCTTGCTACTCACAACCCAGGACATGTCTTCACAAGTAACTTTTTCTCCGAAATCCCACATCCTCCGTCACCGCCCCGTTCCAGACCGCCTGTTCAAAGCAAAGCCTAGAGCCTCTGCTGTTCCTCCCGTCTGGCTCCGCTCCAATTTCCTCGGAGCTTAAGGGGAAATTGCATAATATTCTTTTAAAATTTAAATAGAAGCAAAAAATGCGGAAATTAACAGTTCATTTTATATGATTTAATAAGAAAAATTCCCGCCAGCATCCAGTATATGTGCAGTTTCTGCCCAAATATTTTCTATTTTTTGTGGATTTTTGTAACAGGGATAACTAGGATCATACATTGTTTGTATGAACTATATTTGTTCTCCTCAATGAAACTTCTAAGCCTCTCGGTATAAAATAAATATTTTGATTGAGATGAGAAATCAGCTTCCTGGTATGTTGAAGTACCAAGAGTTTGCATCCAATAATAAAAAAAAAAACAGTCTTAGTTTTGGGAATATATAAGAATTATGCTCTAATTTGTAGTTACCGATTTGTCCTTACCATATTTTAATCTGACAAACCGAATCTTCTCGACATTCTTTTTTCCTGTTTGGTGCGATTGCAATTGCAGATCTTGACCTGGCCGGACCAGAGTGGAGCAAAAAATAGCTCGGCTCTGTATTTTGACAGAGAAGACGTATGTGGACGCAGGGAGATGGTGGACTTATTTTATTTAATTTTTTTCAGAAGCATATATAAACTAATTAATATAGTCTATTAACCTAAAGCAATATACATGGTATGGTTGTTCCATGTCAGGTACGCCAGTCATTGACCTTGACCAACGCACCTTACAGTGGAACTACAGTCAGTCCCTGGACTGGCATGGCTATCACTGCCCCTACATAGTTAGGGACTCATTTTGGAATTAGTCATGCTTCATAGTCATGGAAGGACACTTTTTGAGTTCATTTATTTTGCTCAGGCTACCTGTAGGCTCATAGCCCGCCAAATGTTGAAAGGGCAATGTTATTGCCTTACTGTTAATATATAGTAGAAATTCTACACATTCAGTAATAAAATGTCACAGGGGATGATATGGGGGCATAGTCATTAAAGAAGGGGTTTGATTTTTTTTTTTTTGATTTTTTTAAGAAGGGGGATGCCATCCCCCCTCATGCCGCCTCAACTCGAGTACTGCATGGATGGTGATGTGCGGAGGAGTAGCGTTGGATGTGGAATAGCTCTCGTTGATTAAAATGACAGTCAATTACTCCGCATGACGTACGTGAGCGGGGCGGAGCGGAGAGAGAATATTTGGAATCTGGGTGGGTAGGAACTTACTTTGGGTATCTGCCTCCAGAAACCGTTCCTCCTTTAAACTCTGGATAATCATCATCTGATGAGGCACAGCTGGGCGTTAGACCTGACTGTCACACCCTGCAAATGGAGGAGAAAAAAAAGAAACCAAAACACTGCATAGAAACATTTATTTTTTTCTAAAAAAAAAATTGGGGAAATGTTTGTCTTTCTTTGTTGTTTTGTTGTGTAGTAAAACCCTGAAAGAAAGCTGGAAGGAAAACTATACTGATTTTTATGGGTAAAATTATGAAGTTAAAATACTAACTTCATGCAATGATAAACTATTTTTTTAACGTTTAATTAAGTACAAGTTTTCAGCAGTTGATTTTTTTGTTGTTCTCCACAGGAGAAATGGCTGACTTCTACGCTCAGCCCGCCCCCACACCCTGGCAGGTTCAGGCCAATACCCCCAACCTCTTCAAAGAGGATACTCAGGAGATCCGTGTGCCCTACACCTCCTCCATCAAGGTGACCAAGTCAACCTGCTGCTGCTTCTGCTTTGGACATTTTCTTACTACTAATACTTGAGACCTTTTGATTTATTGTCATGCTGCGCTGTTCCATTTCAATGTGAAGCATTATGGTTTTAAAGTTATAAGGCATTGTAACTAAAACTGACTTTTGAAGGTATTGCAAAATACTGAGACTTTGTAATCCAGGTAACCTAGGAGGACAAAGGCTATGTGACTTTTCTTGATAAATAACTACTCTAACTTACATGTATTCAAACAATTTGCAGAAGAATGTTGAGTGATTGGTCCTTATCAAAAAGGAAAAAGATATCTGTCCCATAGATTTGCTATTGAAAGATGTGCTTTACATAGGCCCAAATCAGAAAATGTGCAAATCCCACTATTAATATATATATATATATATAAAAAGTAAATATGTTAAATTGAAAATATATATTATTCTGTTTAAAAGCTTTTTGCAATTTTTTACTTTCATTGAACTTATCTCAGAAAATCTAGCTCTGCAAAATATGTGTAAATGAGAGAGCCACTTATTTTAGTTCAAAGCCTTAATTTATGACTTGCATTCAGAGAGTCTGTGCTTTAAAAAGACTGCAATGCTGCTTTTAACTCCTGTTTCTGTGTAGGAATGTAACCCCTGCCGTGGGGAGGGGAAAATTCCCTGCGAAGACTGCAATGGAAATGGATATGTAAGAAAACATTTAAGGTTTAAATATATTAATAATAACATTTTTTGCTTATAAAATCAATTCTATTTCACTAGATATTTATTTGAAATGCATTCAGATTACTTCTCATAGATGTATTTTGTCTTTAGAAACCATGCAGGATCTGCAATGGCTCTGGAAATAATGACAACCAAAGATGTTTGAGCTGTGATGGAACAGGAAAGGACAGGTAGTTTAAATCATAAGCTGGACTGTCTGATGATAAAGATATGCAGTGGGTGTAAATATGTAATTTATCTAACCAAAGTGATCTAGTTTGTTGCTGATGTCACAAATTGATTCAGTCTTAAAACAGAGGAACAAGCTGCCGACCTTCAGCGATGACAAAGAATAACATGTCTATCATGAACATTTCCAGCTGTGATTAGCATCATATTGAAGCAAAAAATTTCCTATTTTCCCTATGTTGAATGGAATAATAAAGAAAAAATTTTAGTTATATTTAATTTGTGATGCACTGATCCAAATTACCAAAAATTAACGAGTACATTTTTGTAGATTGGTTTAAAAACAACTCTGAAATCCTAATTTGGTCTTGGGTGTTAGTATGAATATTGTTGTTTGCAGTGTGTTGGTGTTATACATCTACACTGTGCAGTTAAAGGTTACAGTTGGTCTGTTGCTTCTCTTATAAAAAGAAGAATTGATCAATAATTAGATTCTGGAAACCTCCCTTCAAATAAATTGGTTGGATCTAATTCCAATTCATGCCACGTAGAACGATCATGGCATTAAGGGTAGAACTAAAAAAAGCTCTTTATTCCAGTGATTTAACTCTTCATATAATAGATATTGGACATATTTAAAAGAGAAATTAGAAAAAAGAATTAGAGATAAATTACTAATTTCAGCAAAGGATTTGATGCCTTTTTTTGTCTCGTTCCTCGTGTGTGGAAAAAAATGTGATCTTAAAAATCCTCAATAGTTTGTCTCACCTCTGACTGAGTTTTTATTTTTATTTTAAGTTGTTCCAAGTGCAACGCTGAGGGGAAAAAAAAGTGCAAAACCTGCAATGGGAAAAAACAACTGTTGACCTTTATAAAACTAACAGTGAAGTGGTAAGTTTGCATCAACAAACACGGTTCATTGAGGAAATGATTTGCATGACAACTTGTGTTTCTGCATAATCACCAAAAAGCTTCAAACATGTTTTATCACTATAAAATTTAATTAGCTGTAACCCAATAGATCATGGGAGGAAGGAGGCCTAAGTCTTCTATGAGGGGATAAAATTTAACCTTAGTATTTTAATAACTTTTCTAACAGCCAAATAATTGGCAATCCTCTTAAAGGGACAGCAAAAGGACAACCTAAAAGGACAACATAAAGAATGCTTTTGATACTAGTTTCTAATTGAATGTACAGACATTCTGAGGTGTTTGGGTCCACCTCAGATGGGTTTAATGAGATCAAATACCCAGCTTCCTTTAGTTTATAGAACTGCTTCAGATATGCCTGTCGGGAATTTCAGCACCACATGAGCTGGTTAGAAGAAGCCATAAAAAGTTTCCACCCCATCTGTGATTTGATCTTTAAATCCTTTGAAGAGCTAAAGCTTTTCCTTCCATCTTGCTTTCATCTATTACCAAAATAGTTTTATATTTTTTATATTACACACTTCTGGATGTACTATATTTGTGTTTAGCTTATGTGAAGCCTATACCCAATCCACCTGTCTCGTGAGTTGGATTTGCCTTTTAATTTGCATGCTTTGGTTTAGGACTAACAATAAGGACATCCACGTGGAGGAGCAAAACTGTGGCCTAAACAGTAATAAGATTGAATCTGTGAATGGGAAGGAGTTGTTCACGACCAGCCAGAACAGGGTATTCTCACACATAAACACACACTTACATTGTCAAATGCAATTACTATCTACTTCAGTTAAATTGTGTTATGATAATTGTTTAAATAACAAACTACTTTAAAATATATGACGAATTGTCTTTCTTCGCTTGTGTCAAGTAAATATCATCAAGTTGAAATCACTGAGGAAAGGTAGCCGGTTGAATAATGATGTGAAAGTGTTCCGCTTTGTGTTTTTCCTCACAGGTCTACCCGCTGTATGGGTTCCCAAACCCAGCCATCGCTGAAGCCTCCGACCGTCTGATCAAAGAGCATCAATCCAAGTTTGAGCAGACCACCCGGATCCTGCAGCAGGTTGGATTTTTTTTACTTGACTTGCAAAGGCAGGGCAATGTAGGGACAATTTTAGCCCTAGGCGCTGATCTAAATTTGTCCTTAAAAATTGAGTAAGGCATTTCCGCTTTCTGCAGCAAACAAACCTAATATTTGTGTCTTTCAGAGGCTGACGGTCGAGTTGGTCCCTGTCACTAAGGTGAACTACAAGTGGAAAGATAACATTCACGTCTTCTATGTCTATGGAAATGAGAGGAAAGTCAGTGCCGAAGATTACCCAGAAACCTGCTGCTGTGTCATCCTGTAGACAGAAAAAAAATCTTGGTTTTCATTCAACTCAAATCTCCCTTATATGCCTTAAATTTAAAAAAAAAAATTTCCTTCACCATCTGTTTATAGTAAGGTTTACATTATTACACGGTTCCTTGGTTTCTTTTCACCATTTTATAATGATATTCTATAACCCAAAGGTAAGACTGGATTTGAATTTGCTCTCGAATCAGTTTTCTTTGTCTTTTTTGTCTTTTACCTCAGATATACGATTGTCATTGAACTCTTTTATTATGTCTCAGCTATTACATTGATACCTCATATACATATGATTAAATGGGTCAGTGCCAACAAAAGCCATATTATGCACAACATAATCTTATAGTTACAAAGAACAAAATAAACCACTGATAAAGTCATTGATATATGCATTTATATACAGTATGTCAGTTTTAGAGCTAGTGCACCATCATTGATGCTTGTTTTGTGTCTGAGCCTCATCATCATTATTCAGTGAAGAGTTTAGTAGAAGAACAGAAATCAGTCAGCTTTATTAGGATTCTCCTAAGTTTAAATACATGTCTGATTACCTGAAGATCTGTTCTCACTGCAATAGGTGGATTACCTTTATTGAAGACCAACAGTGTTCTGTACAGAATAACATACCTCTTTTCATCACAAAAAATGCCTTGTTTATTAAAAAATATTCAAAAGTGTGTTCTTTAAATAACGAGAAAGAAAGAAGGTTTGCAGCCGCAGCAGATTCAGCGTTATGTCTGCTAGGTAGTTTGTTGGCCGTGGCCTTGAACGCAGGGAGGATCCATCATACTCACCTTCTCCCTCACCATATGATGGGGATGAAGTCTGAGGGAGAGCTGGCGGTTCCCTCCTGTGAACCCCCTCTAATACCACAACACTGCCTATACGCAATTATACGGTAGCTGTACGTTGGAAACACGTTTAGCGGTCCTCTGGAACACGTCAAATATGTTTATATGTGTTGGAGATACGTTCTTGATAAGCATAAGTTATGCATAAGTTACTCATAGATTTTGGATAAGCTAGAAACCCCAACTTATGAGTGACTTACACTAAACGTATGTCAATGATCAAATAACTTACCTGTAAGTAGGGCCCATGTATGAGCATATGCTGGCAAACATAGACGTACTTGCCATATGTCGACGTGTGCCAGCGTGTTTCAGCATATTTCACCATGCATGTGTTTATTACCACTGTGGCCTGCCTTCCTCTGGAAGAAAAGGGCTCCTATAAGAAGCGGATCATGTTTAATAACTTGTGTATCAATGAGATGTAGAGTATAGCCACCTGAGTTTTTTTATTTGTTTGCCAATTATGCATGTCTCTGTTTAGCTTTTGTATTTTTGTATCTTTAACAAATATTTTTTTGGATGAGATTGAATCTGTTTGCATTTTAAAAAATCAGGTTGACTCAATACTTTTGAGTAAAGCCTTTCTCTTTGCAAATCTGTCAATCATTTTGGGAACACAGCATGTATGTATGGACCTTGTCATTAAGACTGTTGATCATGCCTTGAACGGCTTAAATACAGCACTGTGACTGACAACTTTTTCTGCCACTAAAGTCAAGCTCTTTCTGTTATATATCTTTTTAACAAAAATAAACCAAGCCTTTTTTTTCTTCTGTTAAATCTGTTTCAAACTCACTTATGTATGTACACATACCATACCATACCATACCAACTTTATTTATGAAGCACTTTATACACCGAACAGGACCAAAGTGCTGTACACAATCATAAAATACAATAAAATTATAAAATAGAGAAAAAACGAGTGTAAAATACATATTAGTATACAAAAAGAATAAAACAAAGTAAAACCTCTCAAATTGTGCCAAAAGCCAAGGAAAAAAGATGTATGTTTCGAATGCCAAAACAATGTATATCAGAAGGAAACATCCTAAAGAAAGAAATACAAAAGTTTATTCAAGAAAAACAGATCAAATACAGACGCATATACACTGTACTTATAAAATCAGTCCGATCATATTGATGCAGCCATTGATCTACACTTATATTATAGGCTATAAGACAATAAACACAAACTCATCTGTTTGTGTGTGTTTTTTTTATGGTCTTTGTGAAGCTTGTTGTTCATTTAAGTTCTATTACAAGGCTTTAGCAGAGCATCTGAATTTGTATTACGGTCACAGGTGGACTAGTTTTAAGCTGATACCTGAAGGGAGTTTTGAAACCGTTTTAAATTCAGAGCATATGATCAAAAGGGACTGAGTAAAAATATATGTTAAACTAAGATGAGTTAATTATAATGAAGTGCATTGAAAACCGTGTATAAAATTACTTTGACTTCACAATCATGCATTACTTTATGTTGGTTTATTATATACACACATGGAGAAGACTGTTGGTACCCCTCATTTAATGAAAAAAAAAACACAATTGTCACTGAAATATCTTAAATCTGACAAAATTACAAAGAAATACAAAGTCTATGAAAATTACCAAATGAAAGTCAGACATTGCTTTTCAACCAAGCTTCAAAATAAAAAAAAGATTTCCAATGCTACATTAATTGATAACATACTTGCAAGTCTGATAATGTTATGGCTCTCTGGACTTTGAGTTTTTAGTTATCTAACTAATTGTGTTTTGTTGATCATTGCTTCATATCGGCTGATTACCCGTCTTTATTCTGTCTCTCATATATACTCTCCCTGTGCAGTTCTTCAGTGCTGCTTCCTTGTGTTTTCTCCTGACATTTCCTGATTTTTTTTGTTGATTCTTGGATTTTGTTTCTGTTGCCCTTTGACTGCATTAAACCTACAAGAACTCATCTCTGCTTCAATCATCTCTGCATTTGGGTCCCCAACCAACCTCCACCCTCATATTAACAGATAGAGAGCAACACATTACATGGATTATTAATGAATCATATCTTATACCTTCTAATGCTGTTTGGTTAACGATAACTGTTACAGGATATCAGGTAAGAAAGACACAAGTAAAAAAAAAGAACAGAGGAGTCAATGATTGCATTTAGAGAAGATCAATCGTTACAAATCGTCACTAAATACTCAGATCAAGCTTACTAAACATTCCTATTTTTTATATAAAGATCCTTTATAGAGAACTAAAGTATGGAATGGCAGTGAAAAGCATTAATTTAACCAAAATAAAAATAAAAAATAAATTCTGAACAGGGATGTTATAGTAAACTATTATATAAGAATAAAATAAATATTAAAAACATATAGAAAATACAAATGAATGTTACCAGAGAAGGATCAAAAAGAAAAAAAAAATATCCACAACATTTCATCAGCAACAATACAATTATTGATGTCCTGTCTGATGTGGTTCAAAAATTCAGCTAGTATCTCATAAATGTCGGTCCAATGTGTCAAAAAAAGATCACTGATCCTGGGACAGCGGAACGCAGCAATGAGGTAATCATCACATAAAAAAAGTTAATGTTTTTTCACAGCGGTGTAAGTAATTCAGTAATTTCATCTCTGGGATTATTAAAGAATTTCTGATTCGGATTCTGATTCTGTGTAAGGGGAATATATTGAAGTTATTTTCAAAAAATTTAAAAATAAAGTCCAACACACAACACAGTTAGTAATGCATTTGGTAAACCACTGCCTATTAGCTGTAACCGCTTTTTCAAGACTGGTCAATTTCCAAACGAACTAAAAGCTGAAAAAAACATATCGATATACAAAACTGTTTCTATAATTACATAGCTTTGCAAGATTTAAAAAAAAAACAACCTAACCCTTGCCTCCCTTCTAGCTCTGCTCCTGCTCTTGCAACTGTACATAGGTGTATACATATTTTTGCAATGGTTGTAGTTGTGTGTACAATGGGTAACTTTAATGACTGGAGCAAATCCGGAGACCCAATTCAGCTGACATGTGAGCATCTAAAAATGTGTTTAAAAATAAACTGGTGTTGAAGGAACTGACTGGAACTGGAATAACTGTGGAGAACAGGGTTAGTGGCCAACAACTCAGAGGTGTTGAATGTGCTCTGAATAAAAGCCACTAATCTCAGAAGTTGGGAGTTTGGACTGGCTCTACTGATTGATCCCAGTGACTCTGTTTAGATGATTCAGATCACGGATGGACTGGTCCAGATCTCGCCGGTTCTAGACAGGGCTAAGGCTGGCCGGGGACATGGTGTCAACCAGGGGGTCATGCAAAGTAAAGTTGTTTCCAGAGAGGCTAGACAAGAGGGAAATCTGGAATCCAGGCGGAAGACTGGGTAACAGGAGGCACACTGACCAGGCAGAGGTTCTCAGAGAAGCAGGACACAGATCTGAGCTTTGGACTTGGAACATAAACAATTGACAGAACAATCCAGACAGTGGCAAAGGCAAACAGACTTTGTCCAGAGGACAGGCAGGGGGTTAAGGTCCAGAGATGAAAAGTCAATAGGAGTATCCAAAAGGGGCAGACAGAAGAAAAGCAGAAATTTGCTGGCTGTTCAACTCACACAAATGGCTTTCAAGAATCTGCCAGTTACCCACCGGGAGAGACAGAAATATATAATGCTCATGTTACATGCAGCAAGTCCTGGTTGTTAAAGCTGCCATACAGTAAGTGTAGCAGTGCAGCAGAGGGATCAGGGAGAAAATTCATGGTGCTGATCTCAGCTTTAATGGCAGGAAGAGACAGAAACAATTACAGCTAATAACTGTATGAATGAAGATGTGTGGAGGCACATGTTATTGTGTATATGCATGCTGATGTGTACATAAATTGATTTATTTGTGCTCTTCTTGGACTTCTAAGAAGTGTAAAAAGTGTCAATTAGCAGTCGAGAAGATTTTTAAGGCCTTTTTTCTCTATGCCCGTTTTCAGACATAAGCACTAACTCTTATATATTGTAATAATGTATATAACCTTATTTATACATGCATTTTGTATGTGTTAAATGTGCAATCTTACTGGATTGTTTAACATAAAGTTATTAATTAATCAATTCAGGAAAATCCATGAAAGAACCACTCTCCCCATCTCAGTGCAGTCAGATGGTAATC